TTCTAATTACTAAATTTCTTTGTCGCGTGAAACTATGTGGTCATCTAGATAAATGACATGTAAATATATGGATTCAATTAATATTAGACCAATCAAATTCAAATAGAAGTAGGGATGGCAATGGTACGGGTATACCGGGTTTCGTGTTCCTCATCCCCATACCTGAATCCCCATCCCCATCGGGGATTAAAAATCTATCCCCATCCCCATCCCCAATGGGTAATCGGGGATTTTTTCCCGTTACAAAGTTTTGAACTTTTATGAAAAATAACTCAAAATTATATATTAACCAACAAACAAAAACTAACAAAACTAATATAAAACACTATAATCACTGAATGTCTTCAAACACGAACAATAACATTCAAGGTTACAGATTAAATCATTCTTCGCAAAAAAAGACATAAAAAAGTCTTCCCAAAACTATACATTTGATTGTTAGAAAACCTTATTTATTCTAATGAACATTTGCTTATGCATTATTAAAAATAAAAACATCAATATTATATATATATATATATATATATAATTATATATATATATATATATATATATATATATATATATATCGGGTACCCATCGGGGTTGGTTTCGGGTACGGGTATGGGTACCCGACAGGTAAAACCATCCACATCCCCATCCCCGCTTTTTATATTCGGGTAATACTCATCCCCGTCCCCATCCCTGGTCAACTCGGGGATTTACCCAGTCAACTCGGGTTAGGGTTTCGGGTACCCGTTCAGTACGAGTTTTTTTGCCATCTCTAAATAGAAGGTGAAAAGATGCACTCTTCATCTCTTTGAATTGAAAAACTAATTGTTTTAAAAATTATAGAAACTAATTTAAAAAGATAACAAAGTTTCTAAAATATACAAAAAAGACCATTGTTGTTTTCTTAGTACATAAAATACAAATGAACCGGTTATTGTAGGTAACCATTAGGTTATCTGGCTTTTTAAAATGTTCAAAAAATATCATTATTGTATTTTTAGTACACAAAATATCATTGAAGTGTGCTATTTGTACACAAAATACCAACGAAGTACACATGTGTTCAACTAAAAGTTTAGGGTAACCGTTACTTTGTAAATGGAAAAATAACTTAAAAGTGTAACGAAGTTCTCAAAGTTTTCAAAAAATACCACATTTTTTGTTCACTTCGTTGTTGCCGGATTATATAGAACACGGTCATCGGAGATCATGCACCATTATATCAATTCATAACAGTCGTGTAATCTCTTTCATTCCCTCACTCGATCGTTCTTGTGGTAATATGAAAAATAAGTGGGTAATAATCTTAGTTAAACATTCTTGCTTCCCAGTCGCATTATGTGTCTCCAACCTAAAACACACACACACATATGTTATATATATATATATATATATATATATATATATATATATATATTATACATCAAGGTTAGCCGTTCATTAGTGTTACGACAAAAGAGAGACACAAAAGAGAAACAAGTGTGATGTTATGTTAAAAGAATTCATAAATATGGATGTAAAGAGTAGGAGTTGCGTTTAATTCTCTGGGCCAGTGAGCGAGAAAGGGATGACTAGGAACACTCAGCGTCATGTAGCTGATTTGATGACGATTTGTAGTCAAAGTAGAGAGAAATATATTTGTTGGAGCGCTTGAACGACTTGCATCGTAATTGATTGGTTCTTAGTTATATGTTTTTTTTAACAATTGTATTTAGATACAAATTGATCAAGTGAGAGAATGAAATAGAGTGCATAACTGGTGTGAACTGCTATGACAAATAATCTCTGATGAATGTGTTCTATATAATCCGGAAACAACAAAATTAACAAAAGGGGCTTTGAACATTTTAGAAACTTTAATGGTATTTTTTGTACTAAAACATGTACTTTGTTGGTATTCTGTGTACAAATGATATACTTCAATGATATTTTTATACTAAAAAAACAATGATATTTTCCGAACATTTTGGAAACTTCGTTACCCTTTTAAGTTATTTTTTTCGTTTACTAAGGTAACCGGTTAACACAATATTTTATTTACTTCATTCGTATTTTGTGTAAAAAAAATATTTTAATGATATTTTGTGTACTAAAAAGAAAACAATAATTTTTTTTGTATATTTTAAAAACTTTGTTCCATTTTTAAATCATTTTTTCATTTTAAAATTATATGCATGTTGGACTTTGTTGCAGAGTTGCAACTTGCACGGCCTATGCTATCTGCAAACAAACCAAAAATTATAAATGCAAATAATACGAAGGTGTAAACACATGTTAAACACATGTTAATTATTCATATTTTTCCATTTTGTCACTTATTTGATTTTAACTTTTCATTCAAACAAAGCCAAAATTTTATTTTGAACAAGAATGAAACCAACCACATGTGTTTTTTTAGTTGATTTGACGATATATAGAACACTTATTGGCCTTTTTTTTTTTTTTTTTTTTTTAAGATATTAAAATACAGATGATCATCAGCAAATTCTTATGATACTTGTGAGAAAATTCCTCATTAATTCTTATACTTTACATGCTTATAAACCTTTTCAAGTTGCATTGTGTTTTAGAGAATTCACAATGAAGAATTTAATAAAAGAGTTAGAATTGCCATTTAAGTTCAATATATCATTATGAAGTATTACATTCATATTTAATGATAATGATACTGGAGAACCTTTCAAAAAGAAAAAAATGACATTTTTGTAACTTCTAAATACATATTTATATATGTTTTGTTGAACTTTGTCGAGTTCAATAAATTATAAAAAAAAAAAAAAACTTGATAGAACTGTATTGCATATAAAATGGTAATGTGTGAATTCGATGAATTCAACACATTGTGATGTTTTTACTGTCGGTCCTGAAAAATGAAATATTTTTAAAGGCCCAGGATGGATAAAAAAAAAAGGATCCTTATCTTTATTATAATTTTGTATTTTTAATGAAAAAAATTGGACACTGTGCAACTGCCCACTTTGCCCCCCTCTAAGTCCCCCATGCCTTTACACTTAAGAGATCATTTAATCACAAATAATATTAATAAGTTTACAATAGGGAAAATGACTTAAAAGCCCAACAAACTTTCCAAACCATTCAAAAAATCTCAATCATGTTTTGTCTGTTTAAAAAAAATCCAACGAACTTAACTTTTTGTCTAAAAAGTCCAACAAAGTTCCAAACCGTTCAAAAAATCCCAATTTTGTTTTGTTTAAGTTCATTGGGTTTTTTTTTTTGAATAGTCAAAACATAGTTGGAGTTTTTTAAACGTTTTGGAAACTTTGTTGGTCTAACAAATCATTTTCTCGATACGGTAATAAGCCACGTCATCTATTTCTTTTATTTGGTTTTCAGGAAAATGTAGCTTAGTTGAGTTTTTTTAGATAAAATGTTAAATTCGTTGGTTTTTTTTGAACAAACAAAACATGATTGAGAGTTTTTTGGCTTGTAAATCATTTTCCCTTTACAATATATATACTTATACACAACACTAATTAGCAAAATTTCCGAAGTTGGATGAGCATTACCAATTATTTTTATTTTTGAAATAAGAAATAACAAGATTCGGTCACTTTCACGAATTTCAATCTAATTATACAAATCAAAGATTGATTAATGTTGCGAAAGTGCACCATAACTTCGCATTAGAGGAGCCGGTGCCGGCGATGGAGTATCCCATTGAATGTTGGACGCCTCCAACTGATTACCAGAATACACTTTGGAGCAAGGTACATATCTGAAAGATTTTTCATAAGCGCAAGAAGGAGGATTCAAGAAGAATTGAGCACAATCGGCTTTCGATCTCTGATTCGGGAGATAAAAAATGCAGTTCATCTTCACATCAAGAACACCTTTGTTGATCAGTTCCCGACACTTGGGCCCAACCCAAGTGAAATAATTATACGATGCAGTGAAATTCGTCAGTTCCGTTAGGTTGCATAACGGCTCCGGAACTCCGTTGTAGAACTTATTGTTAGCCAAGTTCAGAAGCTCCATTTTCTCTAAGCACTGAAGCGAGTATGGGAGTGGACCAGTTAACTGGTTGAATCCAACGTCTAACACGGTGGATTTCTTCAAAAGTCCGATTTCATATGGCAAACAACCGGTTAGCTGGTTGTTCAAGAAAAGAACCTCCAGTAGGGTGTTGGAAGCTTGACCAATGCTCCGAGGGATTCCACCGACGAATTTGTTGTTAGCCAGGGTGAGATAAAGCGCCGGCGTGGAGCCAAGGTTTTCCGGGAGTGTTTGCTCGAAATTGTTGTTGTTGATGAAGAGCAAGTCGAGGCCGAGAAGGAAGACTTGTGGAGGAACAACGCCAAAAAAGGCATTGAACCTGAGGTCAAGGAATACTAACTTGGTGGCTTGGAGGACTTGGTTGGGGAAGTTGCCGGATAAATTGTTGTTACTGAGGTCGAGCTCATATAAGTAGCGGAGTGTGCCTATATCGGTGGGTATGGTGCCTGTGAAGTTATTGGAATTTGCATGGAAAAACGCGAGGTCTTTTAAACCGCTTAGGAATTCATTGAGGGTTAGATCTGGGCCATACAAATTCCTGTTGTTGAGGTTGACGCCGGAGATGGTCTTTTGTTTAACATCCGGTACAGTGTCGCAAATGAACCCTTTGTAATCACTGCAAATATTGCTGCCTTCCCATGTTTTCGTAATGCCTGTTGGATCGATTGTCACTTTCTTTTTGAAGGCTTGGATGACGTCATAGTATCCTCGTAGTAGCTCGCTCTCGAAACCACTGATGATTGTGGACTTGGTGATGGTGGAAGTGGAGATGGTGTTGGTGTTGGTGGTGATTGTGGACTTGGTGATGGTGGAGGTGGTGGTGGTGTTGGTGTTGGTGGTGATTGTGGACTTGGTGATGGTGGAGGTGGTGGTGGTGTTGGTGTTGGTGGTGATTGTGGACTTGGTGATGGTGGAGGTGGAGGTGGTGTTGGTGTTGGTGGTGATTGTGGACTTGGTGATGGTGGAGGTGGAGGTGGTGTTGGTGGACACGGAGGGGGAGGTGGAGGAGGGCAATCTTGATATTCCGGCGGTGGTGGCGATGGAGACGCAGCAGCACCACCTATGATTATCTCAAGTGTTTCTCTAGGAGTAACAGCTTCGCCAATAATAGCAAAGAGATGAGTGATGCAAATCAAGAGTAGAATTACATGAAGGCCGCCCATCTCTGATCAGAGGACGTTCAGTGGAATAGAAAAAAAAAAGATAACGAATTAATTTGATTAAAATAATAGAGTCATGGGCATAATATTGATGTAAACTTGTCTATTTCCTCATTTGTTTCCCGAAATGTATAATTCATAAAAAATGACAATTCGCCAGCCATAAAGTATTGGTTCAGCTGATAACGTTCTAGCAAACAAACAACACTTTAATTTGAAAGTTGACGAATGAAGGTATAATTTGAAATTAAGATTTGAATTATTTGTTCATTATTGATTAATTCTTTGTTAAGTTGATAGTGACTCTACGGCCATTGGTCTTGCCACATTCGAAGTAGGGGGTGATATTGATAAATCAACAGGGTTTAATCCTAGTGTAATTTAATAATTGTTTTATGCATACATGAGAAATTATACATAAAAAATCAACATATATTCATACAATTTGTATTTGATACGTTTGTTTCATTGCAGTGGATACGGTGAAACCTCTTAATAAAATATAACAATTATGCATAACAATGTTATATCATTTAAATCTATAGATGTAGTTTTCAAAAAAAATAAATAGTTTTAGCATTCAAAAAAGGCTTAACGACACAACTTTTTATCCGTTTGCTTTTTCATTAGTTGTATGATGATAACTAAGTTTTATTAATAAGACATTTGTATTTAGGAAGTAAAATGTATACGATAATAGATAACGATAAGTCTAAGGTTGGAGACATGTGGATAACGAATGATGATATGTTTCATCTAGCTATTAAGATAGACCATCATTTTAAATATATATATATATATATATATATATATATATATATATATATATATATATATATATATATATATATATATATATATATATATATTAGTGACGGAGCTAGGGTTAATGTAAAGGGGTATCCTGAAAAAAAAAATCGTGTAATATATAATGAGAAAAAAATAAAAATTGCAATTTATTAGATATAAAGTTCAACTTCTATAACAAAGTTACGTTTTAAAGTTCACCTCTCCGCTCTTTCATTTTACGAAAACGAGTAATTATATTTTCAGTCTTAACATTCTCTAGTCCTTCCTTTTCTACACTACAAATCAAAGCACCATTCATAAAATCGTCACCTATTCTATTACGCAAATTGGTCTTCAAAAACTTCATTGCAGAAAAACATCGTTCAACGGTTGCAGTTGCGACAGACAAAACCAAAGTTAGTTTTAATAATCTATAAACCAAAGGAAAAGAGAGGTGCTTCCCGGTTTCCACCAACAAAAACGATAGAGGTTTGCAATTCCCTTCAAATTGAAAAATCTCTCATCATGGAGCAAAGAGTGATAAAAGATATTAAGTTGCGCCATTTCTGAATGGTTAAAATCCTTTTTGTATATCTCGCTTAACTTTAACAACTTTGCTTTATCAAAACTAGATAATGAATCACAAGGACTCAAAGCCGCCATGTTCTCCATCAACTCCGTGCCAACTTCACTAAATCTATCCTCAAATTCTTGAATTTGCATATCTAAAACCGTGTTAAAAATCACAACTTCAAAATGATGCTGATTAGTCTTATTGGCCATACGCTTTTGTGGGGTAATATAATATTCTACATGTCCACAATTCCAATACTATGTTTTTCACAAAAAGAGCACACCTTGTTCCAAATTTGCAGAAACCCATCTTTTCTTAAAACTAGTAATGTTTTTTTTTTGTCCCTTTTACTAACGAAGTCGCTTCCAAAATATCTTGCTCTTTTTTTTAATATGCTTTGACAAAGTATCGTTGAGGCATAAAATTTCCAACATCAAGTGTAAAAGAAATACAAAATCAAGTGGTTTGAAATATGATAAAATACCCTTTGTTTGATTACGGTTAGATAAAATAGACCCCTCCTCTTTGACATATTTAAGGACTGCAACAACTTTTGCAAACAAATTCAGCAAACTTACAATTGACCCCATCTAGTATCTCCAGCCCGAACAAGAGAAATCTCTTGATTTAACCCTCTTCTTGTTTTAATTCCACCAATACCAATTTCGGTTGGCACTCTTTCTTTTTGCATCTCTCGTATATATCATATCTTTTCTCTTATAAGACCCACAAACGATAGTAACCACCAAACCTAGTTGTTCAAAGAATTCATCAACATCATCATGTTTCTTTGCAACCGCCACAACCACTAATTGAAGTTGATGCGCAAAACAATATATATAATGTGCATAACTGTTTTCATTTAAAATCAAAGATTTCAAATCGTTGAATGCACCACTCATATTACTTGCACCATCATAACCTTTCCCCCTCACCTATATATTTGAAAAAATTAATAAAAAAATATAAGACATAAAAATAAAATTAATATCATGTTAAAGGAATAAATATTTTACGATTTCTCACTTGATCTATAGTCAAGTTATTGTTGGAAAAAACGGTATCGATGGCGGCTTTAAGAGTCAAAGATGATGTATCCAACACGTGAACAACTTCGATAAATCTTTCATTTACAATCCCAAGTCTATCAATATATCTCAAAACTATAGTCATTTGTTCTTTTTTGGAAACATCACTAGACTAATCAACTAATATACCGATTACCAAACACATATTTACCAATTTCATCACAAAAAGACTTGATTATCTCTTTTGAAAAGCAATTGACAATATCTTTTTGTAGCGTCGGAGAAGTCAACTTTTCATCATCTCTAATAAAATATAAGACTTCAACAAAAAGTCCTTTATTATCATACTTTTTCGTCTCATCATGTCCACGAAATGGTAATGCATTTTTCTATACGGATTGTAGCACGTTATCAAATTTCATAATTACTTTGCTCAAGTTCCATTTGCTTATGCAAAACTTCACCAATAGATTGGTTTTTTCTTAATTACAAATGACACTTTTCTTCAGCCTTATGATGAGAACTATGAATCTCACCCATATGTTTCGTGAATGATTTATTTTTATTCCAATTGTCAAAGCCTTCGGTTATAAAAGCATCTTTTCCACCTTGACCCCTACCATGTCTCTAAACAAATAGCAACAAAAACAATATGCCTTTTTTTTAATACTATACTCTAACCATGGAAATTCCGTAAATAATTCCACAACAAAACGTCTTTGCTTCTCACCAAATAAAGTAAATTCAAAATTATACCCCTTTGGTTGACAAGGTCCTTTAATCAAATATGCCATCCTTATTACATCCCTTTGATTAGGATTATAAGATGTAATCTTTGGCCTCTCCCCAGGTCCGAAGGAAGATTATTCAAATCAAAAGATTGTGACACTTTTGGTTTTTGAGTATGCTCATTAAATTGTGGTTCTTGTGGTTTTGAAATAGGTTCATTAGATTGTGGTTATTGTGGTTTTGGTGTATGTTGATTAGGTTGTGGACTTGTGTACTTTCATTAGCCTTATTATTTTTTTTTTAAAGTTCCTTCACCATTGTTGTCTCCAACATCTATTTGTTTTTAGAAAAAAATGTTAGTAGCAACCTACAATCAAAATATATCAACAATCAACTTTAATTCTATAACTTGACTTAAAGTTCTAACAACAAAAATAATCACTAATTATTGACCCTAAGTCTCTAATTTAACAATCCTAATTGGTAATTTCTATTTTTTCAACACAATGCCAAAAAATTGAATTTCAATTAAACAAAAAATAATCACAAAATTTTTACTTACTTGCTTCATTATGCACAACTATGATAAAAAATCACCCACCACTAGCCACTGGAGGATTTCGCCGGAAAACATCCACCATCGGCAGCAAAAGAGATAGGGCAACAACTTGTCGTCGCAGGCAGGGAGTAAAACAAAGTATGAAGTCACAATATGTTAATTCTTGGGAATTGCCGTTCATAAGTTTTTTTTGGTAATAGACATTGAGCTTTAAGTTTGAGCAATTGGGTTACTTATTAAATGGATTATACATTTACAAAATAATAATAATAATAATAATAATAATAATAATAATAATAATAATAATAATAATAATAGGGTAGCCCAAAATATATTTTAGACTTATGGTGCATATAAACAACAATTTATTGGAAAAAAATGTATTATTAATTTTTTTAGGGCCTCCTGTGATCCCCATATATATATATATATATATATATATATATATATATATATATATATATATATATATATATATATATATATATATATATATATATATATATATATATATATATATGGAAAAGTGAATATGTCCTTAAGGGTATATAAGCTTAGGTACCCAAAATCACTATATTACGTCGTTTTATATCATATATAATTGTTCAATATTCTTATAATTCAACTTCTAACTTGATTTACTTCGAAGATTTTTATAAATTTCACATTTATTGTCATCTTACATAATTTTCACTTTTTAACTATAATATATATAACTTAGTAGTATTTGACAAAAAGATGTGATGTAAGATGAAGATAATGGTGAAATTTTGGAAATGTTGAAAGTAAATCAAGTTAGGGGTTAAAGTTTAAGAACATTATAATGAATATATCAAACAAAACATTGTATTATGGTGAGGTTGGGTACCTAAGCTTATATACCCTTAAGGGTATATTCACTTTTCCCATATATATATATATATATATATATATATATATATATATATATATATATATATATATATATATATATATATATATATATATATATAAACGAGAATACCTAAAAGGTTGAGAACGCGAAAACAATTGTGGATCATTCAATGTAAAAGGGTATATTAGTAATTGTATATTTTAATTAAATTAAAATAAAAAAATTCAATCAAACTCCTTTAAATTTAAGATCAATTACCAAAAAACAAAGAAATACCCAATTTTTTTTATTTTTCTTATTAATGGAATATAAAAAAAATTACCAAATTTAATTTAAAACTGAAAAAAATAATTTTTCTAGTATTTCAAAAAATGAATAGAAATTCAATCCCAAATCAATACACTTGTATTCAAAAACGAAAATTTTCTTCAAAAAACCTAATACGACTCA